TCTATTTTGATAGAAATGCAATTGATTTTGTATCCTGCTGCATTGCTGATTTTGGTTATTAATTCCAGGAATCTTTTAGTGGAAGTTTGAGTTACCTATGTAAAGAACCATGTCATCTGGAAATAGTGATAATTTGACTTCTTCCCTAGATGTATCCCTTTTATTTCCTTCTCTTGACTAATTGCTCTGGGTAATATTTCAAGTACCATATTTAACAGGAGTGGTGACAGTGGACATTCTTGTCTTGTTCCTAAATTTAGAGGGAAAGCTTTTAGATTTTGCCCCATTTAATATAATGTTGCCAGTACTTTTGTCATAAATGGCTTTTATCAAATTGCGATGTCCATCAAATTTCTATGTCCATCAGGGTTTTCATCATGAATGGCTGTTGGATTTTCTCAAAGGCTCTTGCATCTGTTTAGGTAGTCATGTAATTTTTGCCCTTGTCTATATAATGTATTACATTTATTTATTTGCACATGTTGAACCATCCTTGCAGGAGTTTGAAAATGCTCCTACTGTTTCAATTTCATTAAAGCACTTAAAGAGTATTGGCATTATATCTGCCCTGAAGTTCTTTTGGAATAGCAACGAATCCATCAGGTCCTGGGTTTTTCTTTGTTGGTAGGTATTTTAATTCAGCTTCAATTTCATTGTCTGTTATTAGATTTTTCAGCATTTTTTTATATCCTCTTGGTTCAATTTTGGTAAATCATATGAGTCTAGGAATTTGTTGATTTTTTTTCAAGATTCTCCAGGGTTTTTTGCTTTGTTTTGTTTTTTGTTTTTTAGAGTACAATTTTTCATACCAGTTGCTAACGATCTTCTGGATTTGGATAATATCTATAGTGATTTCATCTTTTTTGTTTCTAATTATGTTAATGTAGGTCTTTTCTCTTTTTGCGTGTGTGTGTGTGTGTGTGTGTGTGTGTGTGTGTGTGTGTGTGTTACCAGGGATTTCACCTTCAGTTTAGGTTTTTTTTTTTTTTTTTGGTACCAGGGATTGAACTCGGGTCTTTGCGCTTGCAAGGCAGGCCACCAAACCGCTGAGCTCAACCCCCAGCCCTCACCTTCAGTTTTGAAATATATTTCCACTGGCTACAGAATTGAGGTTGACAGATTTTTTTCTTTCAGTAATTAAAGATATTGCTCTATGTTCTTCTTCACTGTATTCTGTTCAATGACATAGCTATAATTTCCCATACCTGTTTTCCTCTGTACATGTTTCTTTTTTACCTTTAGCTATTTTTAAAGTTTCTTTCTTAATTGCTGATTTTAAAATTATGTACCATTTCTAGCTTATTACTCATGTTTGGAGATCACTGCTAATCTTAGATTCGTGTGCTTACACTTTTCACTGTTTGAAAATTTCATTACTTATTATTTAAATATTTTTTGTCACTCCAGTCTCTCTCTTCACCTTTGAGGACTCCAACTACATATCTATTAAGTTGCTTGAAATTCTACTACAGCTCAAAAATGATATAATTCTTTTTTCTGCATTTTTTGAAGTCTTCTTTTTTGCTATGTCTTCAAACTCATTATCTTTTCTAACCTCAATATCTAATCTGTTCTTTATCCTATTTCATGTATTTTTCATCTCAGACATAACATTTTTCATTTCTAGAATTTTGATATGACTCTTTTTTATATGTTTGATCTCAATTTTTAAAATATATGGTATTTAGTAACTTAATTGAGAAGTAAAACTTGTATATATTTATGGTATACAAATAATATTTTGATATATACATTTTAGAATGGATAATCAGGCTATTTAATATATGAATTACATCATAAACTTTTTTTGCTGTGAAAGCATTTAAAATCTACTCTAACAATTTTCCAGTATACAGTATATTGAATATAGTCACCATGACACACAGAAAGAAGATCCCTTGAACTTATGCTTCCTAAGTGAAACTTTATGCTCTTTAACCAGCATCTCTTCAATCTTATCAAATTTCAGCCTATGCCAACCACTGTTTTACTGTTTATATGAGTCAGGCTTTTTTAGATTCTACATATAAGTTGGATGATAGAGCATTTCTAACTTTTTAACAAAAAATCCTGATTTTAACAGTCCTGATTAATTTTTATCCTTATTATGCATTTTATTTTGGTATTTTAGCATACTTAGTAATCTTTAACTGGATGCCACACAGTGTGAATTTTAAATTTTCAGTGCAGACTATTTTTGTACTTCTGTAAAAATTCTTGAGATTTGTTCTGGATGCATTTTAAGTGAAGTAGTTTGCTCCATTTGGGGTCTTTTTTTTTTTTTTTGGTACCATGGATCGAACTCAGGACCTTGTGCTTCTGAAGCAGGTGGCTTGGGTCTTCATTTTGAGACTAAGTAGACAGGACTGAAGCCTCTTACCAATACCTGACCCATCTACATACTCTACCCACAGACCTATGAATCAAAATTTTCCAGTGCGGCTGGCATAAACAGACATTATATTCAGTCTTCACACTACTCAGCTAAATACTCAAGGACCCCTGCAGATATCTTGATTAATCTTTCTGCGTACTTCCCTCCTCTCTGGTGTTGCATGGTGGAAACTCTGTCTGACTTGGACTTCTCAGATGCTCAGCTTCATCTCCTCAACTCAGAGAATCTGCTGGGCTCTGGTTCAGTTCATCTTCCCTATATTGCCATATGGAAAATCTTTCAAGAAAGTAAGCTGAGGCAATCAGAGAGCTCACCTTATATGTTTGTGATCTCTGCCTTAGTTATCTATGTCCACTGTGTTGAAAACCACTGGTTTGTGTATTTTGTCAATTTTTTATTTGTTTGTTTGTCTGTTTAAGATGAGAGAATGAATTCCGGTTACTCCACATTGGCCAGAGGCCGAAACTCTACCATATATGCAATTCTGTTTCTACAATTGTATACTGTTTCCTTCCACTTCCTATGCCATCCCCTTCTTTTTATGTACTGTAATTGTCTTATCAAAGTTGTATTCCCCAACCAATGTTTGGTAGTTTAGTATAAATAGGTGTAGTCTCTTAGAGAAGGAATTTGAAAATATCTACCAAGAATGTAAATATATACTTAAATACTAATTCCATTTAGGACTATAACATTAGGAAATAAAAGATGCATACAAAGGTTTTGCATAAAGTTGTTCACTATGCTTTTTTTAATAGTGAAAATTTTGAATCCATTCAAATATTCATTGAAGAACATTTGATGGTTCAAAAAATAGCTTGCAGTACAATATAAGGAATAAAAGTGAAATACAAATCTGCATTCACACAGTAATTCCAATTTGATATGTGTGAGTATTCCTGTCTAGAAGAATGCAAATTTTAACATTGTTTAAACTTTTTCCATTTATCATGATTTTAAGATCAGAACAAAAGATATTTTTTTTTAATTTGAGTCAGGGTATCACTATGTAGTTCAGGCTAGCCTCAAACTCAGGGTACTCTTCCTGCCTCAGCTTTCCAAGTGCTGGAATTACAAGAGTGTGTAATAACTATAACTGGGTAAAATATATATTTTAAAATATAGTTCTTCATAACGTTTCTATGTTAGAGATGGGGATCCTCATTTTTTTATTCTAGTAGGAAAGTAACTTAACATTTTAGTTTCTTATCTAAATACCACGTATCCCACTTAAAGGCAATTCATAAAACATTAAACAATTATGAAGACAGTTCTATTTATTTGAAGAATTTTTAGGACTTCTTTTATCTTACCTTGAATTTTAATGTTTGCAGGTCCTTTTCTATCTTGCTAATGCTTCTTCAGCCTTTTATTTAGTGATATCACTTTATGAAGTACAAAAAAGAAAATAAGAAATATATCCCAAGTATACAGTTCAATGAATATCCTTAATCCCTCTGTTCAACACCATGACGCTATAGTGACTAACAGTGCTGGCCCTCTAGCAGTGTGAAACAGGGGGCAGGGCCCAGGTTTACATCCAGATATTTCAGTTGGGTGTCCATGTTTTGCTGCAGCCCAGAGTGGGGGAGCAGAGTCAGAGTAGGATGAGGATGGTGTTCATGCAGGGGACAGCAAGAACAGGTTTAGGGTCAGGATTATATAGCTAAAATATAGCGTTTTCTCCTGTTTTACTCTGTGTGAAACAAAATATGCAAAACCTTTATAAAGAACACATATACAGGGCTGCGGATTTAGCTCAGTGGTTCCGCCACCTGCCTTGCAAGCACAAGGACCAAGTTCGATCCCTGGTACCAAAAACAAACAAACAAAAAAGAATGCATATACATAACTCATCTTTTCTAAGCACTTACATTTTAATTAGATGTTTATTCTATTATGTAGGCATGTAAAACTAGAGTTTCCCTTCATATTAATTTACTTTCTCATAAAATTCCCAATAAATATAACCACAACTTTATAAATAGTAAACACTGAAAAATGCCTAACTAAAAATTGGCTTCAATTTCTTATGTTAGTTTTAACATTTTTACTTTTAACCATGGGTCTTCTACTTTTAAGCATCAGTTTTTATCTTCAAGGGTTTGTAAATTAGGATGGAAGAGGTGTAGGGGTGGGTGTGGGTATGCGCATGCCCACATGCTGTTCAGATATTGAGAAGACAAAAGAAATCCTGGAACTTTAACATTTAATACTTTTAATTTGGACTGGTTGCATTGGAATATAAAGTCCTGAAGAACTGTTCAAAATGAGCTCTCAGAGTGGCAACCACATGTCTTCCTTTAAGTAGATTATACTTAATTTCAGATTGTTTCCATTACCTATCCCGTGGTGTTCTGCCAAAGTATACACCAGTTCATGGGGACATCTCAGTATTGGACAAGGAGCAGAAAATTAACCATGCCTCCTTCATTAGGTGAGGGCATTTTAACAATATATGTTTATTCAACAAATATAAATTCAAAGTATAGATCTAAGTATAAACCTTTTTAAGAAGCCTACAATGTTTTCCACAAATTATAAGAGGAAGTTCTGTAGATTTAAGTTAGCTGACTTTTTTTTCCTAAAATATGTCTGATTATAGGCAACAAGTTCAAGGGTTGGTGTCTTAACACAAAATGCAACTAACATGGGACTGTCGGTTATCATCTCCCTTACATACGGATGGGAGATGACACTCTTGATTCTGATCATTGCTCCAGTGCTTGCTCTCACAGGAATGACTGAAACTGCAGCAGTGACTGGATTTGCCAAGAAGGATAAGCAGGAACTCAAGCGTGCCGGAAAGGTAAATGAAGGCTGCCATGAGCATAATTGTTTTTGTTGTTTTTTGTTTTTTGAGACAGGGACTCACTATGTAACTGAGACTGACCTGGAATTCACTATGTAGCCCAGGCTGGTCTTGGACTCACAGCGATCCTCCTGCCTCAGCCTCCCGAGTGCTGGGATTATAGACATGCGCCACCATGCCCAGTTTAGCATAATATTTTAAAAGAAAAATAATCACAGCTCTGTCATTATTATATGTTAACCTCATTACTTAGGAGTCTGAAGCAGGGTAATACATAGAAAAAGAAATTAGCATAGGGTAGATGAATTATAGCAATAAGGTGCATTATTCAGACCACAGGACCTGAGTCAAACTGGCTAGACTAGAATCCACATCCTACCACTAACAAATGTGTGATATGAGTATGTTGTGTCAACGTCTGTGGACTTGCATTTTCTCATCTGTAAAGTGGGAATAATAATCCACTTACAGCTTTGTGTATTATACAAATGAGCATTATTATACATAAAACTTTGCCTAGGAGACAGTAAGCACTTAATGTCAGCCCTTAATCTCAGCACTTAATATCAGTAAGCACTTAATGTCAGCCCTACCGTTACCTATCATGGGAGGGTTTTTTAGCACCTTGATTCCCCTAATTGTTAATGATTCTCTAATTGTTAATAATTACATTTTCCTGAGCCATTCTTCTAGGTATTTTATTTTTCATAGCAAATATGAAACATAATAGTTACTGAATTCAAGGCAATGCACTGATACTCAGAGTACCTAAGGTAAGGTTTTAGAGACAAGGGCCACTTGAATACTGATCAAGATGCACAATTTATGTATAATTAATTGGAAAATTGTTTGGCATAGTAAGCTTCTCAGGATCAATCATGATCATACAAATAACCTTTATACTGAAGATTTAAAGATACATTATTGTAATATCTATGAATTGAGATAGATGTTATTTAACCTGATCACTCTCCGAAGTAGGAATCCTTTGTACATCACTGTCAATTACTCCTCCATGTTCTGCTCATACTTTCCTTGGAGGGGCAGGAAGTACATTATCTTCCCAGGCTGCCTGTATTTGGATAGTACGCAGTCATAGCTTTTTTGTTTTTATGCTTCTTGCTGCTGTTCTTGGTTTGCTTGTCCTTTGGTGGCTTTCTATCTCACTCTTCCTAGCTTTTAACTTGATGAGGCCCAAAACCTGCTTTCCATGATAGCTTTTCGAAGCTGCATCATATACATATTATATACATATAAAGATCCCAGGTCTTTAAGCTACTCATCTCATGAGATGGTTAGAAAGATCTTTACCACATTGCTGAACATCTTCTGGATATGAAAATGATTTTAATATCAGGGTCATTGTAACTGAACCACAGCTGGAACATTCGTAAATCTTAATGTTCATGAGTAAGGATGCCAAGCACATACTTGGTGTATTCTGGTTTGCCTGACCCTTTCTGCCATTGGCACTAGATAAAAACCTTTAAAATGTCTGTAAGTGCTGTATAGACTCAACTATAGAGAGAAATTTCCCTTGGAGACAGTAAACAGTTATTTAGCCTCCCTGTATGATTAAAATTTGTGATAATTTTCTCAGTTTCTAAATTAATGAGACATTACTTAGATTTGATTCATCCTATTTATGTGTGTGTGTGTGTGAGAGAGAGAGAGAGAGAGAGAGAGAGAGAGAGAGAGAGAGAGAGAGAGAGAGAGGGGGGTTCGACATAAAGAGAGAGAGAGAGAGAGAGAGGAGCTTCAGTTCCATATGTGACTTTAACTATTCCAGTGATGGAAAACCTTTTACAGACAAGTGTCCAAACTGTAACCCAAAACTCATTCATTTATTGCAAAGTGCCAACATTGCAATTAAACCTGAATACTGAGGTTTTAGTTTAGAAAAAAACAACTCATACATTAACATCTTTTGTCTTAAAAACATAATAATAATAATAACATGCATGCCATAGGTTTGCACTACTGGACTACTTCTTATAATATTAGAATGACCTCAGACTGGCTGGGGATTTAGCTCAGTGGTTCTGCCGCCTGCCTCAAAAGTGCAAGGACCTGAGTTCAATCCCTGGTACCAAAAAAAAAAACAACCAACAAACAAAAAAACACCCAAGAATAACCTCAGACTTGTAATCAGTAATTCCTATCTAAATCTTTTTCCTATAGTTTTAAATAAGTTAACTTATCAAGGATCAATTTAGAATATAGAGCCATAAAATATGTTGGTCCTTCTTAGTTGCATCTGTAGATTTGAATAAATCATCAAATGTTTTATTTTTCAGACTTAAAGTGGCTTTATTAGTTTTTTAAGAGTGCAGTATTTTCTAAGATTTTATAGTAATATTCCTTTCTAAATTATAAAAAATAATTAGGAAGATTTTTTGTTGCTGCTCATTTCTTTTTTATTTTTCTTCAAAGTTTTTATCTATTTTCTTTGCACACTACAGAATATGTTAAAAATGAAGAATTTTTTAGTTCATTTTGAAATTAATGAGAACATAAAACAACTTAACATCAAAATTGACAGCGGAATCCAGGTGTCCTAACCACAATACAGAAATCTAATTCTTTGCTGCAAGCCAAGTTGTTTTCAATTAACGTGAGGTATCTGTGTGGGGTCCTATCTCCCATAACCTACAGCAACAGCCCACGCCTAAACATAAAAATGGAAAGTTTGTCTTTCAAGCCTACCTGTGCTCTCACATCCAAAACATTATTCTCAGCCAAATCATACTCCATCTTGAATTCTATGTAATTATACATTATTTTTAAAAACTATATAAATATGGAGCACTAATCACATTTGAATCAAATATCTTTTGAAGTTCACACATATCAAAATGAGAAACAGGGGCTGGGGATTTAGCTCAGTGGTTTGGTGGCCTCCCTTACAAGGGCAAAGACCTGAGTTCAATCCCCGGTACTGAAAAAAAAAAGAGAGAAAAAGTTTTATCATATAAAGAATATTATAGGGGGCCGGGGATTTAGCTCAGTGGTTCGGTGGCCTGCCTTGCAAGCGCAAGGACCAGAGTTCAATCCCCGGTACCAAAAAACAAGAATATTATAGGCACATCACATAATTTATTGGAATGTTCCTGAGTGCTTTTTGGTTGCTATTTGCATTTTTTTGCTAGAATAAAATAATTATTTACTCAATTCTCTCTACTATCATTTACTTAAATTGTTTCATAACTTATAGAAAGCTCCTTTGCTATAAACATAATGCTCACTGATACTTGATTTCCCTACCTATGTAATCAATTTAAATTGAAATTCAGTAAAAACCTGAAGGCAGCTAAACAGTACACTAAATCTTTTCAAAATAATTTTCCTAAAGCTTTTTATCCTGAAAAAAAATTTTATATCTTATGGCAGGGTGAAGGAAGATAAGATACTTACCAGAAAAAATGAATTGACATACTGACTCTGTCCCTTCTGTACGTGATTGGAATTCACTGCCTATGAGAAGTTCAAAGGTCACTAATTTTATTTCTATATTTTATTTTACAAGATAGCAACTGAAGCTGTGGAGAACATACGTACTACAGTGTCACTAACAAGAGAAAAAGTCTTTGAGCAAATGTACGGGGAGACGCTCCAGAGCCAGCACAGGTGACTATAGATGCATGCTGACTGCACTGACTCACTTTGTCTGGAAACCCAGTGCGCTCAAGGACTGCAGTGGTTTGCTGGTCAACCCACTGGCTTTCCTAAGATGGGGTAACGTGATTTCTCATGTGACTCCACTAGAGGAAACAGAGATGAGTCAAGGGGAAGCACAACTATAATACATAGTTTAGGTCTTTCATGTTACTACAGAGTCTGCCAAAAAAACATACACACATTTCAGCAGTTCACCCTACTAATAAATGTCTGGAAGCCAATGGCCACTACTTTGGGCATCTCTTGTAATTGTAGAGGCCCAAGGTAACTTGTATTAATCTCATGATAGCTCAGTAAATTTAGTATTAAAATGTCTGTACAAGGTTTTTTTCCTGATGTATACATTTTTTGGCATACTTTCTACTCACCCTGTCTTACTAAGTGTACGCATTTATCTTCATTTTCTGAAAAGACTGAGGAAACAACATATTCAAGAAAGAAAGATTGCCTATTCTTTTTTTTCCATTGAGTTTATTGGTATTTTTAAGTATACAGTAGAGTTATATTCATCATTTGGATCTTGTACCTTTACATGACAAATCTTTTTTGTTGTTTTTTGTTTGTTTGGTTGGTAGGTTGGGTTTTGTTTTTTTGTTTTTTGGTTTGCTTTTTTTTTTTTTGTTACCAGGGATCGAACTTGGGTCTTTGTGCTTGTGAGGCAGGGGCGGAACCACTGAGCTAAATCCCTGGCCCCTACGTAACAGATCTTGATTCTCATTTTTCCCCCAAACTCCTGCATCTCCCTTCACCCCCTCCACCCTTTCCTATTTACAAAGACTTTGTTTCCATTTTTTTCCTTTTTTCATTTTTTCTTTTACATTAAAATCTCTAGGATATTTTACATTTTAAAACAAATATATACACAATAAATGTGCTATTAAACTCATCCTCCTTATCACCCTCAGTGGTGTATTATTTTGCCAGAGAGATAACTTTGTACTCTTTGCATTCATGCTTATGGTCAGCATCACCCCTTAACTGTCACTATTTACCCTATTAATGCAGGATTACAATAAACACTTGGAGAACACTTCTAAATGCCTCCAAACAAAATCCCTTTAACTGTCCTTTCACAGACGTTGTCCATTCATTGGAAAGTAAACAAAGGCAAATTTGTTACAGTAAACTACACAGTATATATTTATAGAGAAAATCATTATATCATTGTCTTCACTATAATTCTCAGTATTAAAAAGAAAATCAGGTTCTCCTTAATCCTTGAAAATATATATCTACCAATTTTAACACTTCAAAGACCTCTATATTCGTTACTCTACATTTATTAAAGTGACTTTGTTGTAATTCATGCCCCATTATTTGGCAAACTGTGCATTTCAGAAATACCTTGAAGAAAGCACAGATCATTGGAAGCTGTTACGCATTCAGCCATGCCTTTGTATATTTCGCCTATGCAGCAGGATTTCAGTTTGGAGCCTATTTAATTCAAGCTGGACGGATGACACCGGAGGGCATGTTCGTGTAAGTTGCAAACACCAAGACTCTATAAGTGGATCATGTACTGTACAGGTGGACCAGAAAGGTGATATTTACACAGGATCATCATTTAAACCACTTAGATGGAAATGGCATGCTTTGAAAATGTTTTCTAACAAATAATAATTGTATATATTATACAATATGATGTTTTGATATATGTTTATACTACAGAATGACTTAATCAAGCTAATTTTTGTTTTTATTAAATGTCTATAAGAACTATAGCATAGTTGATAAAGTACTGATACTAAGATTATACAAACAATCTGAGTTAAACTCCCAAAAGAATCACTCACTGCTTCTACTTAGTATAATTCGGGAATACAAAAGCAAAAAATGCTTTCTTGGTATCCATTCCCTACGTAATCTGTGTGATTTTGTGGAATTCCCAATATAGAGATGCCCTTATTAAGTATGATTAACTTTAAGGTTGAGCTCTTTGCTAAGCAAATACTCCAGAAAAAATTATATGTAAATGAGTACTTCCCTTCAACAAATCACATTTGGAATTGATTATGATTACCAATGAAGCTGCTTCTTCCCAAAGCATTGGATGGAGCTTATATTTTGGAATTCTGTTCACATAGTTATAACTTTTTTTACTTTATAAAAACACCTAAATACAACCAACTGAAATAATAAAAATTAATTTTGAGGGGCAGGGATTTAGCTCAGTGGCGCCACACCTGCATGGCAAGTGCAAAGTCCTTAGTTCAATTCCTGGTAGAAAAAAAATTTTTCATTAATTTTGGATGTTAACTCTGAGCTTCTTAAGTCAGAAAATTTAGTAATTTATATCATAAATGTCATCACTAAACACCTAGAACTTGAAAATACATGCAATATTTGACTTTAAGGAATTTTTATTTACAACCTACTAAAACATGCACATCAAAGCAAGGGTCAGCTTTTTCTAAATAACAATTGGGAGGTGATACCTTTCCTAAAAACACTGCCATTGGCAAAGGACTTTGGGAACTATTTTGCCTCCCAAGTCTCAGGAAGTTCCTTTCAATATCTCCATTGGTGCCATATATTTGTATTGAGGAAATGTGTTCAATTCGAGAAGACATCAAAGAGTCATTTTAAGCCACGTAATTTCAAGAAAACTTGATAAAAATTTTAGTTTTTACTCAAATGAAAGTATTTTTGTCTAAGCATGAACTGAGAAAGTTTCTTTGCTAACTGAAGAAAAAAAATCTATACTTTGCCAACCCAGTACTCCAGAATCTTACCCGTTAAAATTTAGCAGTTTAGCAGGAAATGTCACTTAGCAGTTTCCTAAAAGCAGATTTCCTTGTAAAACAAGATATCTGTATTTAAAATTTCAACAGAAAAATGAAGTCTCCAAGTTCTACCATCCTCTTTACCTCTAAGAGTGTGCAGCACTCCCTATGCTACAATCATACAGTAACCCTGGGCTTCATTATAATGCATCAGTAAATCAGATTACCAACAAACAAAATATGGTAAATCACGTAATCTATTCAATTCACAGGCACCCATTCAAGCGGCCAGGATCGCCCCTTGGTTCTAATGTAATGTAGGCACCGCCAAACTTAAAAGTTAGTTGTGTTCCAAGTTTGTTTGCAAATCAATTGCTTCGAACTCAAAACACATTTTTCTAAACTTGAATGGCTCTGTAAATCTCCAAGGTGCCAGTCTTTCAGTATAACTGATTTTAGGTATTTAGCAGAAAACAAACTAATGAAAGAGTTATGTTAATGTAGGCTGTCTGATTTTATAAACCCTTCCAGAATTTTCTTTTTATTAACTTCTGTTAATACTCTTTCTTTGCTCTATAGTCATCTATAAAGAAAAAGAATTCTTTTGCATGACTTAAAGTCCCCTTCTACTAATTTCGTATTTCTCTGCTGTCCTTTACAGCAAAATTCCAAATGGGTGCTTATTCCTGCCCCCACCATCTTCTGATCATTCCTATCTCTCTTAAACTCATGCCAGTCAAGCTTATTTCCCACACACCACTAGAAAGACTCATGATCAAGGTCATCACTGACCTGTACCTCATCCACTTATACTCAGTTCGGTCTTCCAGTCTTTTACTTGGCCTCTCAGTGGTATGTGACAGCTCCTTCCTGAAACATTTCCTTCTCCAGCCCTCTCTAAACTTTTATTTTTTGTCATTGGCCCACTTCCTGCATTTCCTTTACTGGCTCTTGTTTTTCTGGTTTTGTGTTGTTGAAGGACTTTAGAGCTCTCAGACCTTTCATCTGTACACTCTCATTGGTGATTTCATCCAGCCTGACAATGTTAAATAATGTGTCTTGATAACTTCTGTATATTTTCAACCCTAACCCTGAAAATCAAACTCTCTTCTAACTACCTACTACAGACATCCTCTTGGGTACCTCACAATATGTCAGCATGTCCAAAACAGAACTCAGCTCCTCAAAGACATTCATCTTCCCACAAGACATCTAAACCTCTCTGTCTTCTTAAATCTCCAGGGACTAACAGTACAGCCACCATCCATACAGTCGCCCAAAAATCTAGGAAGTATCCCTGTTGCTTCTCTTGCCCTCCCTTATCCATCACACAGACTACCAAGTCCTCAGAGCTCTAATTCCTAAATACTTCTTAACTCCCTCCATTCATGTCATGTTTATCCATATCCTGCCTGGCAAACGTCTTCCCACTGATGTCCTTATGTCCCCTCCTGCTTCCTTAGAATCCACTCCATACAGCACACAGGTGAGTGGCTAAAGCAAAAATCTAATTGTATTTAATTAATTTAAAATATTATAGTAACTTCCTATTGAAATTTTAATAAAGTGAAATTCCTTACCACAACCTGAAAACCCTTCAAGATGGGGCTTCTTCCTTTCTAGCTTTACCCATCACTATCTCTCTTGCAGACTGCACCTCAGCCCCACACTCGAGGCTTATGTCTCTGGAACACTCCTTCTCAAGGTATTGGCACTGTCTTTTCCCTGTGCCTGGAAGGATCATTTCCCTGGGTCCTTGCTCTGCTGTCTCTTTCTTACCATCCAGGCATCCACTCCTCAAAGGCACTTTCACTGATGATCTAAAGTGTTCCCTTACCCCTCCTTCCTCACCTTTCCATTACTGTCTTACTACTATATGAAACTATCTTTTGTTTTTGTACTTGTTTATTTCATAGGCTGAGGACAGGTCTCAGCATATTTTATTCACGGATGTTTCCTCAAAGCCAAAAACAAAAGGCTGGCATCACACATTGAAGGCACACAATAAAAGTTCATTGAATAAATAAAATAACTGAATCAAAATAAAGGGAGAGAGCTGGGAGCATGGCTCAGTGGTATAGTCCTTGCCTACCATAAGACCCTGAATTCAAACCTTAGCATGACCCAGAATAATTAATTAGTTAACTAAAGGGGGAAATTTGGAATAGTGCATAATTAGGCAGTCCAGTCATTCCTAGAAACATGTCTCCATAGTCAGCTTTACGTGACTTGTTTTTTACACTGTTATCTATACCCACCCTACTCTCCGATAACACCCTGGGACTCCTTTCTCCTAACTGTAATTCCCCATGATGAATATCTTCCCATTTCCTCTCCCCTCCCCCAACATATTCACTGTTCTCTGGGAACCAGGTTTGTTTCAAATGTACTTTTGGTGCATCATTCAGAAAGAAACAAAAATGTACAAAGAGAATAGTCTATTCCTAAGGTCTCTCTCTCCCTGGGGCCAGAATAGGCCCATATGTACCTCCTATGCCACACCTGTAGCCACGAATGTCACCAAAGTGTGTCACACCCTGAACCCACAGCTCACTAAATCAGAACAATGTGGGTTAGGATGAGGCTCTCACTGTGATGGGCTTTCCATTGCTAAGGGGGACTCACAGCATAAGAATCAGCCACAAACATGATGCTAGCTGAAATAGAAGCCCCATAGACTAGGGCTGTGTGTCTTCCTCCTTGGTGTGGGGGCTAATGAGATCTGCCTAGTGTTAGGTTTCAGCAGACTAGCACTTAGTTCCAGGGCAGAGTCACATACTTACTACCCTGTCCTACCCACATCAAATGGGGCTTTGTACCACACTGTGCTACTTGAGGTTGGGGCAGCATTGGTGATGACAGTCTCCTGCCACCTGGGCTGACGCTAAGCTAGATTGTGCCTGGGTCTCATGACCTGAAGGACCTACACAGCTTTAAGTTTACTGGGCACTCACCATAGCTGGTGGTCATGCAGGCTGAAAAACAGTCCACCCCATAAAGTGTAAGCCTCTGCCTGGTGCTAGGGTAGGTTCTAGAGCCCCATTTGTGAGTACTCACCTGGCAAAAGCTATACTGCTCAAGGACAGAGCAAAGAAGGAGATAGTCCTATAGTCAGCAAGGCTGGTGCTAAACTGATTTAGCCATCCCTGAGTCTCGTAGCACAGGGGCCTACACCATCTCTGGAGGAGAGCAGGTGTACCTTGAGGTTGGAAATGATGTAGCCAAAACTTGAGTCTGTCCCTCTGCTGCTCAGGGCCAGTCTAGAGGCTCCATATGTGAGCTCTGGCCTGCCTTGTGTATATCCCTTCTGTTTCTACCAGGTGCTGAATCTCCCTGCAGCATCCCTGGCAGCCTCTGAGATCAAGCCTTGGGCAGCTTCTGGGCCCTGTTTCCCAGGGGTGAAGCTGGGATGCTCCAGATGCTCATTTGACTGGCGTAGAGGTCATGGAGCTGTGCCAGACACTGGGTTTCACCACAGCAGGCCTCGTACTGGCTTTCAAGGCTAGGCCTGGACTTCATTCTTTCTCCATCACCCAAGCTGAAGGCATCTCTCTCCTGCTATGCTGCTTGCAGTCAGGGAAGGCTAATTGTGGCAACTCTTCCCTTCTTGTCTTCTTCAAGGATTCTTTTTTTTGATTTGATGTGTTATACTAAAAGCAGGCCCTGTGGTCTCTTACCTGAATTCCCCAGCTCATGTGAAAGTAGTCTGGTGCATGTATAACTGCTCAAGTTGGGCTGTCTGTAGAGAAACATTACCACATGACTTTATTCAGCCACCATCTTGCCAGTGACTCCCTCAGGATGTTTCCAGAAGGGGCCTCCCAAGACTGCCAACAAGTCCATCATTTACCATAATCTCTACTACAGCAAACCTTAAGTACATTTTTATTCACTATTAAAGACTCATGTATTATTTACTTACTCCTCTGAACTACCCTGTGAAATATTCTCATATTACAGATAGAAAATAATAAAACTCCAAGAGGTTACTTGCTAAAAGTCACATACCTAACAAGTAGCAAAGCATAAAATTCACTTTCATGACTCCAGATCCCAAAGGCTTTGTTTAGTAGGTATTTGTTACCATTCTGTAAAAATTTTTCATGGAATATTCCTGAAGTTAATTTTTTAAACAGTTCTTGCTTAGTTTTCCATTTAAATGTCTAGAGCTAGACTTTTTTTTTTTTTTTTTTAATACCAGGGATTGAACTCAGGATCTTGCGCTTGCGAGGCAGGCGGTGAAAACACTGAGCTAAATCCCCAGCCTAGACTGATTCTTAACATGAATGGAACAGGTGATTTGCTTTGCATTATTTTATGTCCCTATACTATAAGTGAACCAAAGGGCCTCAATACAAAAATTTCTCCCCCTTCTGGCCTACTGCCTTTACTGAATTTATTTTAATTAAATTTATTTCAATGGGTCATCTTTTAGAGACATGAGCATTTTAGCTGTCACATCATATGCAGGGCCATTAATGTAAGAGTAATGATAATGATATTATCACCTTGGTATTTCCCAATGCCCCGAGTGAAGGAAGAAACAGGAAGCTATCTGAGCTAGGGCCATTATTAGCATCAGTTTTTATCTGAGTGTCATTCAAACAGATTACAGCCGGACTGGTGGCACACACCTGTAATCCCAGCACACTGGGAGGCAAAGGCAGGAATATTGCAGATTTGAGCCCAGCCTGGGTCACTTAACAACTTATCAACTCAAAGAAAAAAAATTAAAAGTTAAAAGGTCTGGGGATTTAGCTCATTGCCAAGGCTCTAGTTTCAATATCTAGAACCACAAACACACACAAAGAAAAAAACTGGAGAGCAAGCATGCCTATTCTGTTAATAAGGACAAAAAGAGATTCTCTGGGGAAGAAAAGGAAAAGGGTACAGCACTGTCTTCAACATCAAAACTCCAGTCTTCTGAGACCCAGTGTAACCCCTACTGTCAAAAGTATGACTTTGAGACATACCACAGTTTACCTGGCCAAGCACTTGCCAGAACGTAGGGTGACACAGAACTACTTTTCCTTTTTTTTTTGGTGCTGAGGATCAAACTCAGGACCTTGTGCTTGCAAGGTAAGCAGCAGCACCACTGAGCTAAATCCCTGGCCCACAGAGCTACTTTTCTAATCAACTATCTGAATGGCAGAGATTCACAAAACGGAAAAAAAAACTCTCTAGACATGGTGGTACACACCTGTGATCTCAGCACAGGACAGGTGAGGCAGAAGTTCAAGGCCAGCCTAAATTACATAGTGAGACCTTGTCTCAAAAAAACAGAAGGCAAAAACAAACATCTCCCTCTCCCTGGAGCCCTAGTAGGATTCTACTTAGTTTTTAGGTAAAAAACATTCGGTATTATTCTGTTACAAAGCATTTCCCTACTCCTCAATCTAGGAACTGGCTAAAATGTGGATGCTTGGAGCTCAACCTGCAACCATATCTAATCTGATTTCTAAATCTAGTTTAGAGCCAGAAATCTGCTTGTTATTGCAGACATTTCTCTGAAATGAGCATTTAAAATTAAGTCATAACATTTTCTCCTGTCTCGTTTTATATCAGTGCTGTTAGGCTAGTTTCTGCTTGCTTTTGCTGGTTTCTGCGTGCTTTTTGCAACATAATCCAGAAACTACTGTACCCAAAAGAGGTTTCTCCATGTCCCACTTCAGGGCCATCCTCCATCTCCCTGAATTACTTCTTTCTTTGCTGTACATATTAGGAAAGAAGCTAAGTACAGCAGATGGATAAGAGAGAATTGAAACTTTACGGTACATTATGGTACCAGTAATAATAAAAGCCATAGCTTTGAAAAACTGACAGAGAAACAGAGCCAGGCAGTCTACATGCTTGTGCCTTGGTCTTCCTGAAATCTAAGTGAAGTTATTGACAGGGATTCCTATCAGACTTTCAATATTAAATTTGATTATTGGCCAAAAGAGCATCATAGATGGTTTATTAATGGATTTTAATAGTTGATACTTTGAAATAATAAGGGATGCAAAGAAGCACAGTAGGCTTCCACCACCATCTTTACTCTTGGCAGCAGCATGGAAGAATTGTGCACATCACTGTTCTTGTTAGGAAAGCACCCTCGCTAGCCAAACCAAAGAGGACAACTTTCTTCTCTGTTCATTGCCATGACAGTCCCCCAACTGCTGCCTGCCTCCTCCTGAGATCATCAAGATGAGAGGAGAATAAGTCCTGGACATATATGCCTACTGCTTAAAATTAACTTCAGGGTGGGAAATTTTAAGGCAGATATATATATATTGACACAGCTCAAATCAGAGAATGAAGCTATGTTCTCAGTTGTTGACTTTAGAGAAGTTTTACCCCTGTGCATTTAGAATCTAGATCTCCAGACTCATCATTCAACTATTTTCCCACTCCACTTGCTGAGTGAGACTTAAATCTCATCCAGTCTGATTTTACTTTGCATAAAAACCAATTTTTTTTAAACTCAGAACAAACTCAATAGCCACTTTTGATGTTTATAGCTGGATACCACATATTTTGAGTGGCCTTTTGAGCTTTAAACAATTTATGTAAATGATAGTAGTAAAAACGTCTTAATGACACAGATCTATAATCATTTTAGCATCAGACATCCCAGTAAACTAGTTGTTTTTATATATTATACTATATTTGACCTCTATATTTTGTTGGTAAAACCAACAAAAGTCAGGATCTGAAGTTTAAGATCCCTGAAGAGATGACAGTGTTCACCCTTTGACAGATTCCTCAGAGAGAAATTTGGAAGGAGCCCAAAAGTGTTTACCTTGCTGGGATCCAGAAGGGAGAACAAGTAGCTGGTCTCCCCTGGTCCTTTGACCGCCTAGTATCTTAAGTATTGCCAGTGAAGTGTGTCCACTTTTATCTGGATTATACTTTTAGCTGATTGTGGTATGCATTGCTTTTTCATTTTAGTACAATATTTTCATGTCTAAAGTGAAACAAAACATTTAACCATAGTTATGTGATACTTTGAATAGTCTGTATGCTTCCAAAAACATCATGCCTACATACCATTTTATAATGAACACGTGAAACTGAGATCATGATCTATAACAAACCTACAAGATCAAAGCTTTTCTCCGATCCTTTGCTACAGTGTACTTTAACGAGATTTTGTTTTGGAGTCTTAAGAAAGTACAATCCCTATGCTTTGCTTTTTAAATAATGTAGCCTATCAGGTGGATAATCAATCATTTAGCAGTTATCTGTTCTAACTACATTATATGCAAAAAGAAAAAAGAAAGAAAGAAAGAAACCTACTTCTTATCTACTGTATCAATTCAGATCTCATTACTGGAGATACAGTCTTCCTATTGTCAATTGAATTCTCTGTAAAATCTCCAGACAAGTAAACATTACATTAAGGTGGCTATAAAGTTTTATGCTCACTAGCTGGAGTCTTTAATCTATGTCTAATCAGAAGAGAAATTCTTAAGATTACTCAAGTTCCAAAGGTTATTTTGGCATACAGAATATGCATTAGTGGCACTATCCGGCCTAAAAGGTTATAGTCCCATGCCTACTTTTTCCTTTACTCTTAAAACTTTACTGTTTTTAGGGCCAGTGATTTAGCTCAATGGTTCCACCGCCTTCCTCGCAAGCCTAAGAACCCGAGTTCGATCCCCGGTACAAAAAATAACAAAAAAAAACTTTACTATTTTTAAACAGACCTAAAATTCAAATGCTTTTTCTTTTGATAGAGTTTTTACTGCAATTGCTTATGGAGCTATGGCCATTGGAGAAACACTTGTTTTGGCACCTGAGTATTCCAAGGCCAAATCTGGGGCTGCACATCTGTTTGCTTTGTTGGGAAAGAAACCAACTATAGACAGCCAGAGTGAAAAAGGGAAAAAACCAGTAAGTACAACTATGATTTTAATTGTCCACTTATTACATGAAGAAATTATTTGTTAACTCTGCAAAAGATAGTTCTACTAACACAAGGAGTTAAAATTTTATATCAAAGAATTTTATGCCTACAAAGAAGGCGATCTTGTCTTAATCAGACTTTCACCCCTATATTAAAAATATATGCTTTTAATTTATTAGCCTGATGCCACGAGAGTATTCTTAAACAAAGAATTTACTTGAATACTGAAATGTATTCAGACAGCAACAGTTTTAGTCTTGGGTGAAGATCTATATTAGATTTTAGCCATTTCTTTCCTCTGATAATATACACAAGTAAATAATGTGGCATTGCCTCACACTGTATTTCCTAATAAATATATCTACAAACATAAGAGGAAAATGGGAACTATATTTGGTAAGTTGATATATGCACAAATTTAGCTAAGAGACTGTGAATATTAAAAGGGAAATAATAGGGAATTAAATTATTTCAAAATGTTTCTCAATAACAGCCTTATACAAAATATATATTCAACTTTGACATTTCTAAACATTTTAAATTTTAAAATAGGAACAGCCATTGATTATATATTTAAATTTTTTTCATTTATAACTATTTCCCTTGAATTTTAATACATTTTTATATATTACAGTTTAAAACAAAACACTATCAAGTAATTACATAATTATTAAAAGGAATGCCCATTGTTATGACAGAAATAAAAAGATCTTGAGGCTGGGGATTTAGCTCAGTGGTTCCACCACCTGTTTTGCAAGTACAAGGACCCAACTTTGCTCCCCAGTACTAAAAAAAAAGTCTTGAATTTTTCAAAACTGAATGTTCAAGATACATCACAATCAAAATACTTATCTTTTGAAAAGTAAAAGATGTAAGGAGTATTTTTTATTCTTAGGATTTATATGTATAATATTACTGCTGTTCTTTCTAAAATTACAATAGAGAAACTGTGCATCTCTCACTAATATATGTCCTTATAAAACTATATGCAGGGATATAGAAATATTTCTTATAAATACTATAAAATTAATGTATTTAATCTATTTTATATGCTAATAATTCTCTGTAATTCCTCTGCTTTTAAAAATTAAAATCAAAAGGGGCCAGGGATTTAGCTCAGCGGTTTGGTGGCCTGCCTTGCAAGTACAAGGACCCGAGTTCAATCCCCGGTACCCCCCCAAAAAAATAAAAATTAAAATCAAGCCGCGCGTGGTGGCACACGCCTGTAATCCCAGCACTCTGGAGGCTGAGGCAGGAGGATCACTGTGAGTTCGAGACCAGCCTGGGCTATACAGTGAGTTCCAGGTCAGTCTCAACTACATAGTGAAACCCTGTCTCAAAAAAACAAAAAGTAAATAAATAAATAAATAAATAAATAAATAAATAAATAAATA